AAAAAATAAAATGTTTATATCTTTATGTTTGAAGCCTGAAATGTGGCGAAATGTTGAAAGGTTCAAGGGGGCCGAATACTTTCGCAAGGCACTGTATATAACTAATTCTAGTAACATAATAACAACTGCTGTCGTTGTGTCCTTGGGCAAGACACTTAACCTCTGGGAACACCAGCCACAGTGGGGCGGCTGCGGCTGTAAAGTGCCAAACTGCCGTTGTGTCCTTAGGCAAGACACTTCACCCCCATTGCCTAGAATGAGTCTAGTGTGTGTGAATGGTTGGTGGTGGTCAGAGGGGCCGATGGTACTGGTTGCCTCGCTTCTGTCAGTGTGCCCCAGGGCAGCTGTGGCTACAGTAGTAGTTTATCACCATCGTGTATGGAGTGAATGAATAATGACACATGTGAAGCGTCTTTGAGTGTCCAGAAAAGCGCTATATAAAACTGATGCATTATTATTATTATTAACACATGTATTAGTTAGATGTATGCTAAATTAGACATATATATATATTATTACTGTTTTCCCTCTGTCAATTCTCTTTAATTGCATGTTATTGTCATTGCATCCATCTCTACAAAATGTACAGAACATATTGACCTGTGGCTGTCCATCACTTCTATCTGTGACTTGAGAAGCTCAGAATAGCTTTGTATCTATAGTGTAATGTTACATTTAACTTTCCTTATGCAGCAGGACATATCTTAACACTTGATATGAATTGGTCTGTGAGGCGAGTGGTGGCTCTGCCTGGACTAAAGATAGCAAATTCCTTACACCGGGGGCTTTTTGACCATTTATGTCCTTTGCCACGCATTAAAAATAAAACAAACATGTCGCTGTGTAGAGCAAGGGTCCTGACAATATGCTTGGCCCAAAGTAGGAACATAAACTGAACAAGCCAGGGCCCGCTCGACATAAAGTAAACTACGGCAGCATGTGGCCTCCAGACACTAGTGAGCCCCATCTCAGTTTCTCTGTCTGAACGAAAACACTTTATGTCTCTTTGTGATGCTTTGATGACTGGAAAAATTCAGTATTTGTCTAATATTCATGCTGTACTGCAAGCATAAAATTCCGTTGGAAGTGGGAGCAGAAAGAGAGGGTCTCGAAGTGACTCAGACACAGTCATGAGGCCAATTACTGTTTGTGTTGGCTGACACCTTTCTTACAGCAGTAATCCAGTCTTTCTCCAGCTGGCTATTACACCCCCCCCCCCCCCCCCCCCTGGCCCTTTGTCCCCCTCCTTGTATTTTTTTTTTCCGTTTTTGTTTTCCCAATGTCCTTGACTCTAAAAAACCCAATTTGACTGAAGATTTTTGCATGTCTGTTCAGGAGGAATGCTTTTTACGTTGGTCTCATTTGTTTCTACTTTAAACAAAACCTATTCCCTTATTTCTGGTAGTGAAACCTCACACTGGCAGTATCCGGTTTTAAAAAATAATTTCCTGTGTTGTCCACTGTGAAGCTGTCGTTGTGTCACTCAATAATTTAAAAAATGCTCCTCATGCAAGTCAGGGATATTTAATTTACAACTATGTCAGAGGCACCAATTGATTTATTATAGAAGGCCTTTAATGTGAACAGCTGTTTCCTGCTAAAAATAGGTCATGGGTCACATAATATGACCTTGTTCCCTTTTTACGCACATCGGAATTGAAGGGTATCCAATAATAGGGAACAAATGGTAATTCAAAGTTGGGTGAAGGGGTTTAGCCAGTTTGCCTTTTTATCTGGAGGTAAGACATATGGCAGGATTAAAAAGCATACATTACATTACAAATATTGGAGATGAATAAGTGCATCTGTTAAAAGTCCCTCTATTATCAGCTCAAGTCTAGCCAGCAGCCACCTGAAGGCTGGTCGTGTGGCTCTGTGTTCTCAGTGGAAGTCGTGAGGAAGGACTGAGGGAGTGGTTCTGGGGCCCTCAGCCGTGCCACTTCCCACCAAAGCCACCCCTGACCCCTGGTGCCATTAATCACTACGATCCTGATGGCCCTGTCCCTGGGGGAAAATCAGTCCAGGGCAAAGGATGATGGGAGGTGAAGCCTGTAGCCAATTACAGATTGGCTCTGAGCGGCCCAATGAAAAAAATCACAGCCTTACTAAGAGATGATATAAGTTTACCCAATAGATGGCTACTGTTAGCTACTGAAATAAAGAATTGATTTTAGTTTTCTGGAGGCGCAATTGGTTTAAATGAGCAAAGAAGGTCAGTGTGCTACCATGTTCAAAAGGGATGTTTTTGACCCATCTAATTAAGTCTTTTGGTCTAAATGTCTCCAGGGTTGGAAACCGGGCATATGTGGGACTCCAAAGGCTGGCCTTGTGTTGATTCCCTTAAATTAGGCGACTCTCTGGCTAACTTCTCTGTGTTTCTAATGTGATTTTTGGATAATTACGGCATTATCAAAGGTGCTTTCCCCTTGCCTACACATGTGGTCAGAAGGTGTAGGAATGTGAAGCAGTGATCACGTGTTCCCTAATTAATGCTGCTTTAGGTTTCAAAGCCTCTCGAGTGCTTAAGGTATAGATAGCTATGGTTTCAGTGCATAGTGTTTTGCTCAGTGCTAATTCTTTACATATTGTAAAAGAACATCACTCTGAACATGAGTATATAAATGTGTTGGGCATGAATTTTGCTAAGGTCTAACTAACTGCTGGCCTGTCACTATGGGGTCAGTGCTGTTGTGTCTCATTTGTTGTCCCTTCATTGTTCATGGTCAGGCCAGTATGAAAACATGGCTTCCTGCTGACCTGCAGTTTAATTCACACATCAATAACCCCTGGCTGATCTCTGACCCCTGCAGTTGTACTAATTGTTTGATGCAGGATTGATGTCTCATGCTACATTAAATAACTGGCATGGTTCTAGGTGCTTCTGTGTTGACAAAGGTATAGATGGTTCAATGAGGGATCTCAAAAACAAGGCTATGTTTTCAATAGAACTAAGAAAAGTTCACAGTGATGTTACCATGGGGCGTTAAAATATATTTTTGCTGATATATCAAGATATAATATATACATGTGTAAATATATAACATGTCCTTGTCTTGTCTTGTCCTGCACTTCCACCACCGGTCACTAGTGAGACAGTGGAGAAACAGGACATCTTGCGAGAGGTTATTTGTCAATTGTTGAAAGTTATGCAAATAATCACCTTAGAGGTTAGACCTATGTATTGTGGTACATATCCTATCGCCATCGTAAAGGCACACCACTACTATTTGCGCTATGCCTTTCTGCTATGCCTTGAATATTAACATAGTCATCAGTATTTATTATTTAGGCTGATAAATACAGATGCAAGAATACTTAATACAGTTGAGCTAGCTGTCAAATTGTTCTATATGACTGTGACAACAACGCTTGTATGGCTCAATACTCACACACCCAACATACTTCAGAGCTTGTGGTATAGAAAAAATAATCTTATCCTTCCACAGGTATAACAGGAAAACCGCCCTATAGAGCTGCTAAACAAACAGTATGTGGGGAGTTGATGTCTCGTACTGATATTCAAATACAACTAAAGGAAAGGCCAATCAAAGCCGTTCTACTGATGTTTATGCAAACTTCTTTATATTGTCCCCAATTTCGCCTCTTGGACTTAAATTGAGATCAGCTTTAGTTGTGTTCTTATAATTAACATTCAGCAGTTTGTCAATCATACAACTTGCTTCTCTACTGGAAAAAAACAATTGTAAATTCAACTGGAACAAGTCATATCTTCGCTGATTGATTGATTGATTGATATCTTTGCTTGATAGTCAACCCTAACATTACTGTAGTCTAATGGGTATGTCTTGTAATTTTAATTGGTTATATTATGTTACACATTAAACAAACTATAATATTGTCTGTTTACTGCCTATTAATGCCTCGGAGGCATAGCAACACCTCCTTGATCCTCTCGTATGCATGTCCATGTGTTCCACCTGGCCCCCATGTGCAGGGATTAAAGAACTGTTGCTAACTTAAGAAAATGAATCGGGGCTAATCTTCATGTCCTAATCACACTGCTATTTTACAAAGTCATTAATGAGTCCAGTTTCAGGCTAAGCACAGCCTGTGGTGGGTTGAGGGATTGGCTGGCATTAAGAGTGAGGGCAAATCTGTGCGAGTCCCCTGCTCTGAGGCCCATTGCGCTAACAGAGGAGGGGTGTGGATTTACTTGGTACAATCCTCTAAATGAGCTTCATTATACTGCCCCCCACCCCTTCCCCATGTACCGCAGCCCATGGATTATCAGGTCGTCACAATCCTGGTTCCTATATCCTGCTCAATGCTTACGCTGTTGCACATTGTACTTTTTGATTATCCATCCTCCCTCCTTACTCCCCCCTCCCCGCACGCTTTCTGCAAGCTTCAGTGCAGATAAGCTGTTGACAAGATTAATACATCTGTATCAAAAGTCTCGAGCTGCTTTGTGTTGTGGTGAATCCCCTTTTCCAGGTCAAGCCAGATTTCTTAACTGTGCAAATAGGTTTTTCAAGCCAAATTTAACAGGCTGCACACTGGGGCTTTGCAATTACTAATACTGTATGTGATTTTTAACAGTCATCAATGAAAAGTTTGGACTTTGGGAGAAGATTTGTCTAAATTAAATCAGATGTTTATTTCCACAACATTTATATTGAAATTATTATTTCTTTGATTTGTGTGTTTTGCAATATCACCCTTCGTGTCATAAAGCTTAGTAGTAGTACTGGTTTTTCTTTTCTGATCTGTTCCCTGCTGTCAATGAAATGTGTACAGAATGTAAAACCTTTTAATGTATTGTCATTTATGCTTGCGCTTGTCATAGTAACTGCCTTTTATGTATTTCCTGTTAGGTGCCTTTATGTCTCAGCAGTGTGCATACCTGGCAAAATTTGGGTTATGGTTTCCATTATCACCAGAGCAGTGCTAGTCCATGTTGGCTTTAATTATGCATGTGCAAGCTATTCAGTATGTGATGCCTGCTAATGATTTGTGCGTTTGTGTGCTCGCCACTGCAGGGACCCCGGTCAATCGTATCCCCATCATGGCCAAGCAGGTCCTGGATCTCTACATGCTCTATAAACTGGTGACAGAGAAGGGGGGACTTGTGGAAGTCATCAACAAGAAGATCTGGAGAGAAATCACAAAAGGACTCAATCTGCCTACCTCCATCACCAGTGCAGCCTTCACCCTGCGCACACAGTGAGTCTCACAAGCATCCTGCCTAATTCACTCAAGTTGCGAGTCGGTTGAGGGCTAATCTTAGGCAAACTTACATTTTAACAACACACATTACAAGTGAGAATGCCTGAAACAAAGAGCCTCTTCATGGCCATGCGTATTACTTATAAATTCAACTGCAAGGGGATTTGTGTGTGGTTTTCAGTATAGATGTCAATACTATATGTTTATCTAACACAAGTTTGCTTCCTGGTCTGTTCGCCTTCCCTTTTCACATTCAATCTATGTGTCCATTACATCACACATAGGGCCATTGATCTGTATGGATTTATTGATGTGATTTGGGTCAGAGTTCACCATGACTAAGGTGGGGTCTGATTGGCACGTCTTACTTCAAGCCCCAGCTAAAGGTATCTGGCTTATGAAGAAAGGCTTTAGCAGATGTAACACCTTCATCCAGTCAGCCAACAGGGTGCCCTAATGAACCTTTATGTATTTTTAATGCCTGAGCTGTTGTAGCGTCATTCTAATGGATACCGCTCTTAACTTTGTATTGATCCCGCTGCATTGTTGTTCTACCATTATGGAGTCAGCATGCATAATAGTTTCTGTTTGCGCGCATTAAAACATTCCTCCGCTGTTTCTATTCATGCTAGTTGATTTAGGGACCCCATGGACATGCATGCAAAACATGTTTCGCACAATTTACATACCAGGTGCACTTGACTATTTTACTATTTCTGATTTACAATTTGCTTTGTTTGATGAAGAGGAATCAATCTTATAGTGGCTTTCATCTTGATATATATATAAAATATGTATAAAACCTTATATATATATATATGTATGTATGTATGTATGTGTATATGTATTTGCATATACGGGCGGTACGGTGGCTGAGTGGATAGCACTCTCGCCTCTCAGCAAGAAGGTCCTTGGTTCGAATCCTGGCCGGAACAGGACCTTTCTGAGTGGAGTTTGCGTGTTCTCCCCGTGTCTGCGTAGGTTTCCTACGGGTGCTCCGGTTTCCCCTACCACTAAAAATATGCACAATAGGTATGAATGTAAATGAGAGAGTGAATGGATGGTGTTGATTGGGGGCTGATGTGTTCGGCGACTCACTGTCGTCATCACTGCGTGTGGAATGATTGGAACAATATCTGAACTCTGAACATTGTAAAGCGCTTCGGGTGACCTTGGTCTGTAAAATGCGCTATATCTAAATATATATATATATATATATATATACATATAATGACATTAGGCCAGGCTGGTGTTGAACACAGCTTACTACTTAACCAGAAATGAGATACTAAAAGTGTCTGGTGTTCTTAACACAAACATTGAATTGGCTTCAGCATATAAACATACTACATTTTAACTGCAAACAATTGGTACATTGTGTGTTCTAGTGTTAATGATTGCTGTTTGTTTTCAAGGTACATGAAATACCTTTACCCATATGAATGTGAGAGGAAAGGCCTGAGCTCTCCGGGGGAACTTCAGGCAGCCATCGACAGTAATCGCCGCGAAGGCCGTCGTCCCAGCTACAGCAACAGCCTCTTCCGCTTTTCTCCTTCACCCAGCACAGCTCCCCACATCCTTTCACCTCCCAAGATGCACCTCTCTGCTCTGGGAGCCGGTGCAGGAGCCCTCAATGGCCTGCAGCCTTCACCAGGACCCTCTCTGAAAAAAGGTAGGTTACATTTGTAAAATATTTGTATAACTATTTATATTTAACTTCAACTTTGACCTAAAGACTGAGTACAGCTGCAATGGCTGGAATGACTTAAGTTCAGGGGATGTTTTGCTGCATTGTACTGCCCCCTGTTGCAAAGATGAAGTATTAGCACATGACCAGACTAGCTATCGTCTTAATTTTTTATTTAATGACTAAACATTGTGTTTGTTTCAACAGGAAGAGTTTTGTAAATGTAACATTGTGTGAACACATCAGACCACAACATGCTGTTTTATATAAGAAAACATTAATTTGATCATGGGAGTCACTATTTGAAGATTTAGGCTCCCATATTTTACAAATATTCTATCTGAAAGATGTGATCGAATCCACAAAATAATGTGACACCTGGTGATGGAACCAAGCTCTTTATAGAGCGAGGAACTGGTTTAACATACCTACATTTTATTAGATACTTCCAATCTGTGGGGTTTTAAAGTGTGTGACCCTAGAATAAACCAATTTATGCCATTTCTTATTGTGATAGGTAATGTTTTCCTGATATTCACGTGAAACATTTACTGTCTAATGCTATTTACTCAAATTCTCAATAATGGTTTTTTGTTTTACACTGAACACCTTTAATTATATTTCAGAGGACCTGACCCCTTCCATCATGGCAGCAAGACCATCCATGGCTCTGGCCCTAGGGCATCAGCAGGTGGCTGGTTTGGCTCGAGCTGCCACTCTTGAGCAGCTGAGGGAGAAGCTAGAGACCAGTGGTGGAGTTGAGGGACCAGAGAGAAAGATGGCTCGCATTGCAGAGGAGCAGCAGCGCCTCATGCAACAAGCTTTCCAGCACAATCTACTTGCCATGGCGTCCCAAATGCCCATGAATTTGCGGCTTGCACCTCCTCCTATTACTGCCAGAGGTTGGTATCACTGAGAATCATGTGAATCACATTTCCAAATTAGTGTTTATTTCAAACTTTACTCTTTTGCCTTTGTTTCTGTTGGTAATTTGCCAATGTAGTTACGCATTACATGTCATTTTGTTATTGTTTCCTTAGAAGAGAAGCCACAGGACATGTCTCTGAGTATCTCCACCAATGGGAACGCCAGCATCACTGTTTCAGTGGAAGTTAATGGCACAACCTACTCAGGTCAGTTTTGTTATGACTTATGGCAATTACGATTCCTGTGCTTATCATTAAACTGAATTTTATTTCAATGTGCATCAGGAACCCTATTTGCCCAGAAGACTGGAGTCAACCCTATGGTCTCGGCTGCTGCTCCCTCTGGTTCTCCTGCTGGAACAAGCTTTAGCTTCTCTGGTCCAACTGCTCACACCCTCAGCCCTGCGTCTTCCTCTTCATCCAAGGGTCCTGGCTCGGCTGAGCCTCTTCCTGGGGGGTCTCCCTGATTTCAATGGCCCCCCTTCCACCTCGAGGTCCAGCATGAATATTCAGTACCACGAGAAATCGTAGAGAATTACTAACTGTTGCACAACAATTACCTCAACAACCCTGTCGAAGTGTTGGCTGTCTAACCTCAATCACAAAGCCTGATTATGACGTGCCCAAACACTGTACACTTAGCACTCATCTACACTGCATCCACACACTGTTCTACTACACACACTGATACACACCTTACACAACGCACATACCACTTACTTATGCTAACATGAGAGCTAGCACAATCATCACAGCCAAAATCCCCTGATAGGTTCCACATCTGAACTTGAACACTTTTATTAGGACTGTCTGTTTGTTTGTTGCCATTGTATCATCTATTTGATTTGTGCTTTAGAATGATATTTGTTTTAGGTTTTTTTTTCTCTTTTTACATACCTCAAATCAAATAACCTACAGTGGTGTCTTTTCCTCAGGATCTGTAGTGTATTTAGCCGAATTAACTTTATTTTTGTATATTTTTTTTACCTCGACACAATCAGGGGAAGTCGAGTCCAGTAGAACGCACTCACAGTAACTTTTCAAACAGCAGTTATGTTTTTCTTGCATACTATAGTCTTTAGCTTAACTGAGAAATCATCAGATGCTGTGGACCATCAGATACCTCCAACTTTCATACCTCCGCCCGTTTCATGAAAATTATAATGCGTTACACACAGCTTTAAATTATGTGATTCTCGTTAGCTGTGCGTAGCGTTTTATATGTAGAGAGCTACCGATGATTCTTTTCCAGGGCCATTAAAGCTCTCTGTAACTGACTAATGCACAGTTAATTGGTCAATAAGGTAAAACCATGTTCTCGTTTTGCTCTTTAATCTGTCCAGAAACTGAATGTCACTCGGCTGCATATTTAACCTGTATATTCTACTACTTACTGGCCTTTCACAATGGGCAGCTTTCTCAGGAAGCAGTGAGGTAATGACAAGGCGTCTTTATGTTAAAAGGGGTCATACCTGAAGAACGCACACAATCCAAGAATACCTCATCAGACTCTCTCAAAAGGAGAGCTGCACTACATACCTCATGTGGCTGCAGAGCCACCGAGACTTGACGCCCCAGCTTGTGAAGGAGATTCTTCCTGATCTATTATGAACATAGCAACTTACTGCTGCTTTTTTGGGGACATTTTGTATACCAAACTAAAGGGGGAAGAGCGCTCTTTCTCCCTTTCCATATTCATTGTATGACTTGTTTTTATGCCTGCTCCAATTTAACTATTTTTGTCTATTTTCTTGACTTTGTTTCTTTTAATTTTGTCAGAGTGATATACCTGGATTTGTATCAGGGAAGAGGAATCTTATTAATTTCTCACTGACTAATATAGAAGTATAGAACTTTTGTTTGATTAAGATTAAAGATCACAGGGGTCAAAATGCCAATCTTCTCTCCCACGTGACTGTGAACACACTTGATACATCTTCTATTGCGAGACAAATATGTATTGATATGCATGTGTACAATCATTTGATCAGTGGTATTCCACCTCTTTGCTCTGGTCACCGTTTGCCTCTGTTTATTGCACAGCTAGATACCAAAGACTAGCAAGCCGTTTTAAAATCAATGCCCAAACAATCATGTCTTCTCAGGCCAGTCATGGGCTTACCATGGACTGCTGTGCATTCACAAAAAAGGCATAATTGAAGAAATATTATTATATCCTCCTTCACACTTTTGGATGGAATTTGGCAAGTTTTGTTGGGTTACTCTACTAGTTGATTTAAAAGTTATCCCATGTTAATACTAGATAGGGATCTACTTACTTCCGTTTTTAATATTTCATTTGTAAAATAGAGCTGGCCACATCTATGTTGAATGTGAGGCATTTAACTGTTATGAAATCTCTGGCCCAGTGTGAGCTGAAGTCAGTTTTAGTAGACTGTATTTATGCCATTTAGCATCAGATTGTTCAGAATTTGCAGTGCAAATCCATGTACATCTCAGCACCATGTATGACACATGACTGTATTGTATAAATGAGAATATAGTAGTCGCTGCCTTAAAGTAGTTGTGGGTGAGATCTGAATATTGTTGATTTCACCACTCAACATGCTGGATTGTTTTTCTCTTCAAGCTTAATCCTATGGAGAGTATTCACTTGAGGCAATTCAATCATACTTGTACCACCAGTCGCTATATGTTCTACTACATATACATACTATTTATTTGTGTTCAATGTTTCATGTAAATCATTGTTTTAGTAGCAGCTTGGCTAAATCACTTACGTCATGTTACTAAAATCTATATCCTGGCTTCGAATTCGATCTGCAAACAGCAGATGGCGAATAGTGTAGCTTCACTGCCTTTTGAATGTGTGCTTGACTTTGTGTGAGTGTGAATATGAATGAGTGGTAAATGTGGCATAAATAACTTATCAGGAATTATAATCAGGAATTACACTTAGGAGTCAATCGAAACTTTACAGCTCGGGCCACAGCCAGTGCAGTGATGAAAACATAGCATTTAAAAGGATCTTAGCTTTTACAAGTTTAAAGTGTTGCTAAAACAATCCGTCGGCTGGGCTGGCTCAGGCCACTGCTGTACTGTTGGTGTGGGTGATATCTGGAACACCCCCAGCCCCACCCCTACCTCGTCTTACCACAATACCTCAGGGCAGTGGGCTGCGTTGCAACTGTTGATGCTTTGAGGGATGAGTACTGACAGTAGTTGCAGTCTTTTTCTTTTTAAATATTACTTACGACTGACTTGGGTTTGTTGTATTGCTTTTTTCCCCGTTAGTAACTGCAAGCAAAGTCTCGTCACTCAGGAAGCTGTGAAGTATGCAGACCCTTTGTCTCAGATGGAACTAATTTAGTTCAATTGTTAAAAACTAACCTGGTCTTTGTAAAAACAGGTGCATATGCAAGTGGTTATTGAATACCTCATTTATCAATTTATGTTGTTTTTGGCTTGTACAATGCTCCGTATATTAATTCAACTGTGGGGTTTGTGCATATTTTTGTACTGTTATTCTTATGACATGATAATAATGATGATATACTGATATTATATAGGTTTTTTTTTTCTCTCTTGGATTAAAACAAACAAAAGTAAGACAAAACATCTGAATGCTTGTTAAAACTGGTTTGTGCTGATTGTATTTAAGGAGCACTTTTCCAAAATGGTTTTCACACACATTCTGTTTTGTTCTTATTAGTAATATAAAGATATGGTTCTCAGGGCTTTAAACTTGTATGTCATGATAAAGTTTTACTTTATAGCTTATCACTGTGTCAGTGTGTTGTTTTATTTTGGTTTACTTTTTCCCATTACATTTACTCATGGTGATTTATATGACAATGTGTAACAGTATATTTTCAGAAAATAAACCTTTACTGCTCTGTTTTCACAAAATGGCCAACGTGACTGAAATGTGACAACAGTAACTCAAGATGAGATGCAGTTAATTGTAAAACGGAATTATATTCTGTTACAAGGATGTCTCTAGAACAAGTATTTCAGGCTCATACTGGAAACAACAAGCTATCAAGCAATCACGAGGTTGGAAGCGGTTAAAGATTGAATGATGTGTTGGGCAACAGGCCAGACCTCATGCTCTCAGCAATGTTAAATGCTGAGAGCATGAGCAATGTTTTGATCCCTCACGCAAAGACCTGAGAGAATGACACATTATATTCAAATCCAAAATTAAGCATGTGTATTATAATAATAATAATATGTTGATAATATGCAGTATAGGACTTAAGTGGACACTCAATCATTCATTTAATCCAGGGGTGTCAAACTCATTTTGGTCCGGGGGCCACATACAACCTAATCTGATCTCAAGTGGGCCGGACCAGGAGATGCTCTACAAAAATATCCAAAAACGGTACAAAGTCCAACTTTTTGTGCACATAAACACATTTGATTAAAACTTCCTTTAAAACACTATCCTTTAATACTCAGTTTTCTGTTACAAACTTAAATGTAACAGTGAGTTTTCCATAGTGCAAATAATGTAGCGTATTTACAATATTACATTGAAAATGGTATTTCACAATATGTATATTAATATTTGTGTGTTAGCTTTGTTTTAAGGCTCATTACAGAGAAAACCTGCTCACAAAGGTAAAGTAGGTAGATAGAAAAAAGCACTTAAACACAGCACCTCAGCTTAACCATCTTCAGTGTGGTAAGGTCCATGGTTATGTTATTATCACATTAACCATCTTCAGTGTGGTAAGGTCCATGGTTATGTTATTATCACATTAACCATCTTCAGTGTGGTAAGGTCCATGGTTATGTTATTATCACATTAACCATCTTCAGTGTGGTAAGGTCCATGGTTATGTTATTATCACATTAACCATCTTCAGTGTGGTCAGGTCCATGGTTATGTTATTATCACATTAACCATCTTCAGTGTGGTAAGGTCCATGGTTATGTTATTATCACATTAACCATCTTCAGTGTGGTAAGGTCCATGGTTATGTTATTGTCACATTAACCATCTTCAGTGTGGTCAGGTCCATGGTTATGTTATTATCACATTAACCATCTTCAGTGTGGTAAGGTCCATGGTTATGTTATTGTCACATTAACCATCTTCAGTGTGGTAAGGTCCATGGTTATGTTATTATCACATTAACCTTCTTCAGTGTGGTAAGGTCCATGGTTATGTTATTATCACATTAACCTTCTTCAGTGTGGTACGGTCCATGGTTATGTTATTATCACAGAGAAAGCATCAAACTGACCATGATTCACTTGAAATGAATAAAACAACTTCCATAACGTGATCCATTCTTAACGACTGCAGCAGTGTCTCTGTGTAAAATACAGTCAAATGTCCAAAAATCATCACCTCCATTTGCAGCTTTGTCACTACACCTGTTTTTACCATCGGTACCAGTCCACACTGTCCAACACACCAGCAACAACAGCAGAACCAGCAGCAGCACCAGCAGCAGCGCTCAAAACTCCTCTGATAGTTTCAGTAACACCACAAATGAATATGTGACATCAGTAACATCAGTCTCTTATCAATGGCAACATGTTGGTAAAAGCGAGTGGTTTCTCATACCATGTCTGCAGCCTGTAAGAGTTTAACAAACTCTCTCTCACTGTGCGGCTGCGATGCTAATGCTAATGTTGTTAGCACAGGTAGCTTCCCTTTACAGCAGCAGAACTAACCTCTCGCTCTGGGCACAAACAGACTGCTGTGTCTTCAGGGCCAGACAGGTTTATCTTCTGTTTTCTCAATTCTTCGCTGAAAGTGCCGTATTTTTCGCCGAGTCTTGTAGTTTAAGATGTTATTCCTCCAGCACCGCTCTGGTGGAGCCACTACAGACGCACTGGACTCACCCCTGAGCGCGGCGCTGCGGCGTCGCGGCGCCTCGCGGCGCGACGCCTCGCGTCGCGGAGTGGCATTTTAAAATGTAACTTTATTATATTTTTACATAAATGAGCCACGGGCCGTGTCAAATCTCTTGGCGGGCCGGTTCCGGCCCGCGGGCCGTATGAATGACACCCCTGATTTAATCCATGCATGGCGTTTATAAAGTACTACCATAGCCATATCTGCCCTGGTGTAGAGTGCATGGATAGTGACTTGGCTTTGAGAGAATTCAATGATCTTGTAAAGCGCTTCACAAGTGCAAGGCATTATTACTATAATTCTAGCTCTGAACTAAAAGTGCTGATGCGAGAGTCACCCAGAGCAGAACCCCTGTGGTGCAGGCTGCAGCAGTATTTTCCACTCGCAGGTGATACTCAGCCAGCACCCGGCTGTAGCCCTGCTCCTCGGACACGCAGACGTACGTGCCCGCCTGCTCTGCCGCCACCTGGGGGAGGAGCAAAAGGCACTGACGCTCTTCTCCCATGCACGACACAGGGCTGTTGTCATGGTACCAGGTGTAGTGGGCATGAAGCGATGACACCGGACATTCAAAGAAATATCGAGATTGAAGAGGAAGCAAGATCTGGACTATGGCATCTTCTGACTCCTCATCTGTGGGAAGTATTGGTACAGGAATACAAGTCAACACCTCATCATACAAAACAAATATAACAACTTCCACAAAAACAATGTGCCAATACCTTCTGAGATTTTGAGTTCAGATGTGAATGAGGGACAAATAGAAAAGTCCCCATGTTCAGTGTCCTGCACTGGTCCACTGTGGCGCAACATAAGTATACATCAATTACAGATCACTGAAAAATTAAAATCTTGATCTAAAGCAATTGATTTGAGTGTCAATGTGAATAGAGCATGTATTCGGAATGTATATATTATGTGTATCATGTAACCCCTCTTCAATTGATTAGAAAGAATTGTACCAGCAAATTAGAAAATATTTGCCAATTAGACACAACATTTAGTAGACTATAAAAACAATTGAAAGTCCAAAAAAAATTACTATTGTACCAGTTTAACTTCGAGCTATCACTTTTTGATTGATTTGATCTGACCTGTTTGCCAAGTCAAATGAAGGAAGTAAATCAGAATTCACTGCTTTCGCTCCACTTACCCGTAAATGAGGTAGGATACAAAGTAAAGCTTAATAAAAACAAGAACTGATCATTTCCCACCTTGAAACTTCCTCTTTGTAATACCACAACCACGTGTGAACCACGATTAAAATCACAGAAATTGTGAAACTTTTTCTATTAAAACCATAAAAAGTCTGTTCAGTAGAAACCACATTTTAGAAACGTCACATTGCATGACCAGTGCTCGAGTCATTATCAGTCACACGCCGGATCTTACAAAACACATGTTATCATCATTTGTGGCTTTTCAGACTAGTCTTTATCAACACACACCACACCCTGTTCCCGACACACAATTTCTCCATAAAAGACGTTAAAAAAAAACCAACACATTGTGAACCACATCTGATATTATCCAATTTTTTGAAACTTTTGCAGTGCAGTTCCTTGTAAAGTACTTTGTTGGAATGTCATAAGTTTTTTTTTTCTTTGTCTAATGCCAAACAGCTGACACAGTGGAATTATAGTCACTGTGCTGAGCTTGTCACAATGCTGGCGGGGAGCATGAAATAGACAATCAAAGGTTAGTATTGTTTATGCCCAAAACAAATGCAAGTTTCTGTGTGGTGGTGTCTACGTTTTAATCATTGTCATATCACGCATACATTTTCTGGTTGAAGAAGCTCTTTACAATTACTTTTAATAAATATGAACACAACACTAATCGAAAGGCTATTGTGCAATTAATTGTCACTGCATTGTATTAAGTGACACACGGGAACACACAGTTTTATCCACTTTATCATACTTTTCTTTTGATGTCATTCTGAATAGAATTGATTCACAAAGGACAAAGAAGTACTTTGTATCTGATTACACAACAAGAAAGAAAAAAAGCAAACTTCATAATCTAATGAACTATGTTGCAAAGTACATGTTCATGCAGGAATTCTGTCACTACATTTGTTCTCAATCGCTTCTGTTGCTGAATCAAACCACACAAACCAGGGATGCTCTTGAAACACACAGTATTTAGACATTTTTAACCTCTGCCAAAAATAATAATATTTATAATTAATAATAAATAATAAATAAAATAATAAGTAACAGGAAATGTCTACAGTCCAAGTTTCATTGATCTGTTTTAAAAGGTCGTTTGATATCCACATATAAAGCCGTTTCCACGAGTGAACCGGAATTGACAGGATTAGTGAAGAAGGTTGGTCACTTCTTTAAACTCACTTTTATCGAATGGCGATCCAATAACTGCTTTAAACTCTACATATTTTTCACATTTCCACATTGTCTTTGTTTTGTCTCTTTTGTTGTCTGTCTGCATTACTGCAATCTCCAGTGTTTTTTTTGGAGATGGTAAATGATTATGACTGTTATGTTTTTATTGCTTTAGGCTGACTGCAGCGCGTTATAAACACTGTTTTTGATAAGTGCAATACAAAAAAAATATGTGCTATTATTATTATTATTATGTGAGAAAGCACCCTTACTCTTTTGTACAGCCGTCGTCGCTCCAGCCGCAGTGGGGATCTCGGGCCAGGACACACTGCTCACACGAGTCCCCATAGGCCGCACAGTTCACCACGTCCACTTGAGCCAATTCAGTCTGGGAAGTGACATAAAGCTTCTCCTGCAATAGCACACAGCAAATACATTGACTAAAAGGCTCGTACTATTATGAGAATGTTTAGATTGGTTTGTCCATCACTCACTGCAGATAAAGAAAGGTCCAAGCTGACGACGTGAGCTCTGTGGTTGAATGGTCTGTACTCAGCGATCACAAAGGTAATATCATCTTTTCCATTCTGCTTGTGCATGACTTTATGAACGGTGCCATTTTCTGTTTACAACAAATAAGTCAAGTTATAACATTCACAATAAAATAAATGTCATTTAGTACTTTAACCAATCTTGTTGGAAGTAATGTGTCCAAGTGATCTTTTCTTAAAACAAAAAAATCTATAAATGGTTGAGTTATCATCCAATTTCACACAACAGACTTATACAGAGGTGTGAAAGACTAGGCAATGTGGGCGAAGTGCCTTTTCAAAGGACATGACAACACTTTGCAGCCACAGCCGCTCGATGTGGTGTCACCAGAGGTCTCCCATCACAGCAGTATGATGATGATTTGTATATGAGGTCTGACAGTATCAGGCTTTGACATGCAGGTGGTGTTACAATATGTATTGTATGTATTTTGGTATAGAACCAACTGATACAAATTGGTCAGTCTGACCAATATATTAGTTAATCCTACGAATAACAATTTCACCATTTTGATTGTTGGCCCAAACAGATAATATTCTGACCAATATGTTGGTTAATCTAGTTGTTTTCCAACCAATGTGTTTTAGAGTGTTGTTCCGGGATCCAGCCAAACACGTATGCAGCTCACATGACTTATAGTCTGTATTAAGTTAAACTGGAGTTTCAGGAAATGTTACACCAAGAAAAGTTTTAAGGTGACAAATTAAAGTGCACAGTTTTACATTTGTGGATTGCTTGTTTATGAGGGAATTACCAAAAAAAAAAAAACAGTTCTCACAATGTCTAAAAATGAATGTGAGAACTGTTAAAATTGTTAATAGAGTAAACTATTTTCTAGATATATAGAACCTTGGCGAAGACAACACTGCGGAAATAACATTATTTAAAATTACTTTAATTTAGGATTTTGTTCTTATTTATATCAGTCATTACAACCATTTCTGAGGCTAACTGTAACCTGTGATAACAGTGCCCCTCACAGTCCATCATAAATTACTCAAAATTGTGTTTTGACTCATTTAAGCAGTCTATTTTAGGCTTGAGTACTCTGAAAATGCATGTTTTCACTCACCATATTTTCCTTCTCATGTCACTGTTATAATTGGAAAATGAGGACTAACACAGAGATACAAAATATCTTTTCAATTGTAAAAAATCTAAATACATACAATGCGCCGCTGATATGTTTATTCTGTTCAATATAGCAGAACCTATCTATTATCTATCTGTTTCAGATTATCATTGCTGTTTTCAGGAAAGTCTGTTGTTATCCAATGATTCAATATTGAATAATAAGAACAAGAGAATTGATTGTAGCAGCTGATCCACTACTCACGCAATGCAATAAACAGGAGGGTGTGGTTTCCATTCAGACTGTGAGCAGTGATATGTGTGTAGTGATGGTGACTGCTCAGGAGGGGACCAGAACTGTTCATCGGCTCCACACACTTTTCCATTTCAGAATTGGCCTCTATTTGCTTTAGAGTTTCAATGCGGAGTCTGGTGCTGTCTGCTACACACTGCGGAAACAAGAGTATACATGTTTTCAACACACAGCATTTGCGACATCTTCACTTCCGTTTTTACCATTCTGGGCCTGTCTGGTTGCTTGTCAGAGTTTTTAAATGGAGAGGTTTTAAAGATGAAGTCAATGTCTTTCATTGTAAAGACGCACACCGCACGCATTCCCCTGGATAGAATAAGAGAAAAGTCAGCAACAAGTCATCAAGAGATGTTGTGTGACGTTTAAAAACAGCATTTTAAAAGCAATTGTGAACCAGGAAACCTTCAAAATGTTCTGGTCCAGTCTCGGGACACCAGTCTAAGCAAAGATCCCTACCCATACACATCTCCTCTTGCTCAAACCCAAGGTGTTCCCAGGCCAGCTGAGAGCCATAGTCCCTCCAGTATGTCCTGGAAACAGATGCCCGAGCCATCGCAACTGGCTCCTCTCAAAGTGGAGAAGCAGCGACTCTACGACTCTAAGCTCCTTGCATGTGACGCCGAGCCACTTTGTGGAGGAAACTCATTCCAACTGATGGTATACATAATCTCATCCTTTTGGTTTTCACCCAAAGCTTCGAGCATAAGATGAGGGTATGGCGTAGATTGACCGCTAAATCGAAACCTTTGCCTTTCGACTCAGCCCTCTCCCCCACAATGGTTCGATACAGCAGCCACATCACTGCACATGCTGCACAATCAGTCTGTTGTCTGTTCAGAATGTTCCTTCCCTCACTGTGAGCAAGAACTGAGATCACTTGAACTCCTCCACTTGAGGAGGGAGCTCTCCTTCCTCAAATGGACCATTTACTGTTCTCAAATTGAGCTGTCTCCTGGTGAGCTTCTCTCTGGAACCACAATCTGAAATTGGGTTAACGTTTTGGCAGCTAAATCAGAATTTTCTTTGGGACCAATAAACAATAATCGCTCTGCACACTTCTTGAAAGATATAGATGAAAGACTACCATTGATTTTTGAACAGAGCGTAGAGGCGTGTGTCATGCCAGTGGTCCGCTTTAACTGTAGCCACACCCAGCAGTTCAGAAAAGTGCAGTTTCTGGTCCTTGTCGCCACAGAAAAGAGGCGCGTTAAGCTGGGATGTCCAGGTAAACTGCAAGTTGTTCTTTGGGCCGCCCGAATCCACCTGGACGATTGTTATGGAAGTGTCAAAAACACGTGTGTGTGGAATGTTCTTCTTGGTTCTAACTTACCAGGCAAAGCTGTGTTACAAAGGGCTTCCACATGTGACTGTACATGTCACTGTCTTTTTTCTTCTCGTTGTAAAAGCCATAGAGTTTATCTTGAGGAACATCATGTACGTGGTCTTGTTGGCTAACTAGCAATTCAATATAGTGCTGCTCTAAAAGTAAAATGTATGATAAGTGACATCTCAGCCTATATCACCATAGACATGGTCATGGTTGGTACCTATATCTCGGAGAGCTGGCCTCATATGTTCTTGGCCAAACCTGTGAATGCCAACAAAGTCTTGAGATCCAGCGTATGCAATGTAGAGGCCACCATCAGGACTATCTGGACAGCAAATACAAAAATAAAGAGAGATTGGGTGAGGAGCTCAGTCACACGGGAGGAGCTCAGAGTAGAGCCACTGCTTCTCCACGTCGAGAGAAACCAGTTGAAGTGGCTCAGGCATCTGTTCCGGATGCCTCCTGGACGCCTCCCTGGGGAGGTGTTCCGGGCATGTCCCACCGGGAGGAGGCCCCGGGGAAGACCCAGGACACGCTGGAGGGACTATGTCGCTCAGCTGGCCTGGGAACGCCTTGGAGTCCCCCCGGACGAGCTGGAGGAAGTGAGAGTGGATAGGGAAGTCTGGGTGTCTCTGCTTAGACTGCTGCCCCCGCGACCCAGCAACGGAAGAAAATGGATGGATGGAAGTTTGGACACCTAGTATGGCCTAAAGTTACTGGGTCATGAGCTCGAGAATAAAGTCCTCAAGTGTGTGATGAAAGAATTCAATTGTCCATTTTAGTGCTATTGTTAGCTACTTTTAGAACTATCTATCTATTCATTTGTCTTGTTTTTATGGATGCATGTGTTTCTGCTGCTACTGGACACGTGAATTTCTCCTATGGTGTATCAATGAAGTATCTATCTATCTATCTTTCCATCTAAATGTACTACTTGGCCAGAGTAAACCAAATAAAATATTGTATTTAAAACGAGGCATGAATACATTAACTTACCAACAAAAGCAGATGCTACGCCTGCCTCAATTTGAAAGTCTTGTATATGTTCATTTATGTTGTTCTTTATGTTAGGAGTGCATTTCACAAAATGTTCTGAAATATTCTAAAAAGAAATTGTGTGTTTAGAGTAAAGACAAATATGAAAATGTATTTTAATGTACAGTAAATAACCCACTCACCAAGTTACAGCATGCAACATCTTTCCCATGATTCCCACATGCAAATAGTTGGTTGGTTCCATGTTTTTTATGGATCACAGTTAAGTTATAAATGCAAGTCTAAAAGTAAATGCATAACATTTCTGGTATTGTACATGAAATACATGCAGTAAATAATATTGCAGCTTACATCTTGTGTGCATTCATTCCACTCCACTGGTAGCTCCACTGGAGCCTGTGAGAAACATCAACAATGAAAAGATAACTCATAACTATACCTATAGTAGTACATATATAGTAACCCAAATGAACTGCGTACCATGTGTGGGCTAAGAAAGTTCATGAGGCTTATACGTGTTATTCCAACAGCTGTCACCACATCCTCTCCTTCGATGAGGGTCTTCACTGGCGCAGCAGGTAACCGTCTTTTTATTATTGTAGTATCTGATCGTGGAACAACGAGAAACTCATTACAAAATTAACTTACACTACTCACAATAAGGTAGAGGGACATTTGGCTTTTGGGTGATATACTGTATGTATATGGAAATAATGAAAAGACACTAAAATATGAGATAATGAATGAATGAAATATTGTCACATGAGCCACCTTATTCTGCTTAGGGCAGCCCTCAGGCTACTAAAGTTCTAGGGTACAGGGTAAAAGCCTCCACACTGAGCTGGTTCCATAGGTTTTTTTTATGGGATTCATAAGTGCAACAGTCAGAAAGAGATAATAAAAAATAAAGAATAAAAATCTTCAACCCTTCTCCTTAGCCAACCCCACCAGGGTCTAGGCCTTTCGGGGGATTTCATCTAATAATCTTTAAAGTAATTAAAGACATAAATATAAACAGAACAGTTTTTAACCTGGATTTGAAAACTGCCAGAGAAGAATCCTGTCTCACATCTTCAGGGAGACTGCTCCAGCCTTTAGCTGCATAAATCTGAAAAGCAGCATCCCCATGTGTAGGCCTGACTCTGGGCACTAGGAAGAGACAGAGGCGTCCCGTGCCAACAAGCAAGGCAGGCAGCTGCCTGGGGCCCCCAAACCGGCAGGGGGGCCCCCGAGGACCGACTGATTTGACACAAGCGGTCGACTTATACAGGCTACAACAGCTACCTGCAGTGACGAGTTGGCGGTTAAAAGTTTTCGTTTGATGCGAAACCTGCCACGTTCTTCATAAAAAGTTAAAATCCTTTCTGGGGCAATCTCTGTATTGAAAGAACCAGTGGTCTAGTGGTTAAGGTACAGCGCTCGCAATGCGGTGGCCCAGTTTCGAATACGAGTAAGAGCAGTATTTTGGATTCAACTATATATTATATTATATGACAGATTGCTCAAGAACGGAAGAAGGTAAAAACAAGCTGTTTTTTGCAGATTAAAGCTAAGAACCTAATCTTTAATTTAGACTATATAAACACTGAGGGCAAAATTAAAGATTAGATTTTGTAGGATTAATACACATTGATAGGTAGTTTTTGTGATTAATTATAACATGATGAGTGTAGTGAACAAGCTTATAAAAAGACATGCGAAATTATTTCTCATTGCTTTGTGTCACAATAAGTTCTGAAGTATTCACATTTTTCTATGGTAGATTGTACAGTATGCCAGGCAGGCCCCAGGCCTATCCATTTATTGTTAAAAATAAGAAATTATCTACATTTAATTTATATTCATGTAAACAAGTAATAGATATTGCATTTTACCTTATTTATGAATATTGGGACCCCCAAGGACTCTGTTGCCTGGGGCCCCAGGGTACCCTTGGAACGCCTCTGGGAAGAGACTAGTCCCTGTGCTCGTCAGAGTCCGAGCCGGTACATATGGCACCAACATGTCACAGATGTACTTTGGTGCGACCTGAGGACTGGACTAATGCAATATAACTCCTGGTTCTAGTCAGGACTCGAGCTGCAGCATTATGGACATACTGCATACTTAGTACCACTACTGCTTTCACTTTTCAACACAGTTAAAGAAAACTTCTGTGATAAAAAAGAAAACATATCACTTTCAAACTCCAAACGAGGAACAGACATGTTCATAAAAAAACATTTATGATCTCAACTGATCTCAACTGATCTCTGGAATGAATGCTCGGATTAACTAATATCATGTAATTCACTTTTCCACTTTAAAAATAAGTTTACAACTATCATTTTGGAGGCTATACATGAACTCAGAATTTTCGGTTTATACAGTTGCCTCCTACAGCCTACTCTTGGTTTCTGCTGAAAATTGCTCTGTAACAATGTGTAAAAAGTGACTTCATTCATTCAACAGTGTCCATGTGGGACTTAAAGCAGGTCAGTAACTTAAAGAGGTTGTGGACTGGTTGAAACATATACACATACATATAAATGTATATATATATATATATATATATATATATATATATATATATTATATATATACACATATACTTTATTTATATATAAATAGCCATATGTATATGTTGCAAATTATATATGTATATGTATGTATGTATGTATGTACGTACGTACGTATGTATGTATGTATGTATACATATAGTAATATTATAGCAATTTGTAACCAACACAATTAAATGACCATAGTTACACAGACAAACTTACCGCTCTCAGTGAAGATAATCCGAGGTCGTTGGCCACATATTAGAGAAATGGCACATATCATTAGTACTGTTAAAACATGTGCGTGTGTGTGTAGCGCCATACTTCCCATGTTCACTGGTTTAAGAGTGATAGCATCAAATCATTAAATAACACTGCACGAGCGCACCGAACGTAATGACTTACGTGGTCCACGCTCACAGATTTGGGCCCAGTCCCAATACTCGCACTTCCACCCTCTCGCCCCTCATTTGCGCGTTCCGATGATGGGTGCGAGTGCGTAGGGCGTCCCAATTCTCCAGGGAGGTCTTTAGCCCCGCCCCCTTTGCGCCCCTGATCCACACTTCGCCGTAGCCCGCATCTACGCGGACTTTGGCGAAGGATATTGCCCATAATTCTTTGCGGTACATTTAAGTGTACGTTTCAAAATATATATGCTGTATGTGTGTAAATAAGTTTTGGAAAGAAGCAAAAATGTCTGATGAAGAATTACAGACATTGTATTTAAACAATTTAATAACTTTTTAAAGCAAGCATTCATATAACATTCAATTTAAGCTTTACACTCAGTGCAATAAACTTAGGATGTATAAAAAGACCAGATAACAGTTAGTTACCCACATTTAACTTAAAATTAAAAATTACAAATAACCAATATACATTTATTTTAACGTGTGTGGAGCAACTCATTTTGCTTCCCACAGGGTCAGACAAAATTACATTTAATGTTTATAAAGTTTAGGTCTGAAAATGACCATCTCTTGACGAGTCGATGACGTTACCTGCACTCAGTGTGCACTGTCCCAATTCCGCCTTTTTTGCACGCTTGTAACCTCTGCACTCAAACAATTGCGTGCACTTCAAACAAAAGCGCACTTCGTAGAGATGTGTATTTGTGGTGTGGGTATTGGGATTGGGCCGTAGTATCAGTACTTTTGGGCCGTAGTAACAGTACTTTGAACACGTTTCCTCCAACAGATGGCGCCATGGTTCTTCCTTTGGACTGCAGCTCGACAAACACAAACAAACACAAGGCGGCACACCACACTGCCTCAAAATGTGCAAGATAAACAACTATATCCGAGCTTTTAGCTCAAGAATGTTTTAATTGTCTAAATATAGTCACAGATAGACTCTTCGTGCTTAAACGTCTCTTAATGAGGAGGAGAAAGCGTTCCCCCCAGAAACAGACAATAAACATGCCCTAATTACACATGGCACGTACATATGTGTTGCACAATAGCCATGGAAGTATATAATGTACTGTGTGTGGTAAATTACTCCATCCATTAGTCTGGTTGATGTGGAACCGGATTGGACACGTGCTCGTGGCGTGGGTTGCGGGGTCCAGTCGCGGAGAGCAGACGCGCAGTGATGGCGCTCTCTGGATGAACGCACGTTTCCATGCGCACTGAGGAGCGTGAAGACTGCGCTATATGCTTTGACTCTGTCTATGACTCCACATGAAGTTCAAGTGGAACAGACATGTCGCAATACTCGCTTGGCGGTAAGGGGGCTTATATTATTATGTGTTTCTTTGTTAAAATATCTTTGTTTTCAATATTATTCTTAGTTCTTTATTTTATTTTAACAAGAATATATTTAAGCAAAATGACGATGTTAGCCAACAATATTCACAAACTGCAAATGTGCCAATGTTCCTGTTGACAAAGCTACTTGCTATATGCATTTCATGCTTTTCCTTATGCCTGAAGCAGCGTTTTAGGCACTTGTGACAGAATTACAATACGCTATTGCGAGGTGTCTTGCCCAATTACACAAAAGTAGGATGGAGACAGTATACTACTATAATAAATCTCCAAATGAACAATATCATTTACAAACAAACTTAGATTTTGATAAAATAGCCAAAGAATTATCATTGGATAAAGAGATAGTATAGTTTAATGACATAAATATATCTTCTACTGCAATATTCTATTTGCTACTCTCCTTTGAAGGGTATTTTGCTTTACAGGTTGTTAAAAACTGAGGCGTACCCAATTTTCAGCCTTTTCGTTATGATCTGCACTAAAGTGAGTCATCACAACACATCCCCCCAGAAGAACCTCTATAGGTCACTTGGCATGCAACAACAGTAATGTGACAGTCATTGAGGCTCACAGACATCATAATATGTTTGAATTAAATAATGCCTGCGGCAAACTATAGATTACTATGAACAGAAAAAAGACCACATAATCAATTCCACCTCCAGATGTCCTGAGTCTGTTTTCGTATTCCTCCGGGTGCCCCGATATCCTCTGATAACATATACACAGTATAATAGTTCAGGGTGAATGAGTGTAAGTTGCGACAGCGCACAACGGATGCAATTTTGCCCAAGAATATCTGGAGAAGTGTGGTCATTAACTTGCACTGCTCCAACCAAATAAACAATACATTCATGAGTTACTTATATCACTCATTTGGTGTCTTTAAAAAAGACACCAAGATTCATTTACATTCACCATTTCGTCTGTGATTCAATCTTACTCTGAATATAGATGGACGATGCTAAATCACTTGGATTAAAAAATCCCTCTCAAATGCTCAGCCCGTTCAAGCGAGCTGTAATCGCTTCTTTCCTATTAGGCAAACAATATGGGTGACGTCAACTGTCAGTGCTTGCTTGGTCCACTCTGTCTATAGTCTATGGATTCAATTAATAAAGAGCATTTGTTCCATAATTTGCTCAAAAAGTGAGTTACAGAAACAATGAAACAATCTTCATAAAAAGCAGAAATTAAAACTGACATAGATGTCTCAGAAACAGATAATAAAAAAATTAATTGTATGGGCAGCTGCAGCATTTCGTAACCTATAAATTATGTGTTTAATGTGGGGTTTTTTATGAGACATATGGGCCAACGACAATAACAGTTTTATCTGGATTGAGCAAAATAAAATTGTTTTGTTGCATTCACATACTAATTTGCTAATTTGATGTGGCACATGATTGATCTGTGTGCCATACACCGACTTCCACTTCCTTGTGATCTGAAACACAGTTTTCAAACCCAACATTATGAGTTAATATGTATAACATACATATAATAATCGTTTGGAATTGGAGAAACAGGGCTTGGAAAAATATAACGTTAACGTAATTGGAAAATATATTTTTACCATTTCTGTGTGGGCTCTGCTTCCATAGGCCGGTGGGGATGGTCACTATTGTTAATGAGTCAGTCAGGGTTATAGCAAGTTACAAAGTAAATCTTTGTTGAAGTTACGTTCATCCTTTTTATTTTCCACTATTAGCTTGTGTTTAATACAGTCTCTTCTTCAGTTCATCTGCAGATTGTGCTGGCAGTGGGTCTGGCCGTGATCTGCTACTCTACAGTTTTGTTCTGCATCCTCTGCTGTCGCAAAAAGAAAAAAGACATTGCACCTCTTGACAAAGAGGCCATTTTATTGTCTCCATATCCACCTGCTGTAACTTTGACTCTCTCTCAGTGCTCGCAACCCATCAAACAGCAGTATGAGGAGCTGGATGGAGACGTTTTAGGCCTTCCATTGTCTAAAAGTAGTTCGTCCACCTCTGAAGATGACCTGTCTGCTCTGCCCTCAGATCCAAGCCCGTCCCCTTCCCCAGCTCTGCTGCCATGCCCTAAATCTGTTCCATTGAGACGCCTCAGCTCTCCAGCAATTCCCTGTCCTCCTGAAAAGACCCCAGTCCATGGAAGAGCCTCTCTGCCCTCTCTCACCAAACTCAGTCTCATGTCCCGGTCAAAGCGGGCCAAGGGCAGGCGCAGCACTGTGAGTGGAGAGAACTTCCTGTGCAATGAAAGCAGAGGTCTGCGGCCTGATCCACAGCTAAGGGATGAGTATCAGTATGGAGCCGTGTCAGGATTCAAGCCCTCTCCCCTCCTACACTTCAGCCTGCTCTTCTCTTCAGTCCATGGTACACTAGTGGTTAACATCCTGGGTGTGTCTGGTACTAGTAGAAAGAGAAGCAGTTTTTATGTGCGAGCCAGTCTCCCTCCCATATGTCCCTCCCCACAGCCCTTGTCCTCCCGTCGCCGCAGTTTTAGTCCAGAGCTCCATAGCCAGAGTGTGCTTCTGCATGTGGGTGCTGTGGAGGAGTTGTACTTCTGCAGCCTCAGACTGGCTGTCTACAGCAGAGACTTCTCCGGTCTCAGGGAGACCATGCTGGGTCTTGTAGAGATGCCCTGTGACCATCTGGACTTGACACCTGACACAAGCTGCACCTTGACCCGCGAGATCACTCCCACTAAGAGCAAGCTGAAGAAGGTACAACTACTGCAGCCACACTCTAGTAACTTGTCACAGAAGCCCACACATGACCAGCAGCACGTCTCTTTCTCTTTTTTTTCTATGCACCTCCAAGTATATACTGCACCCAAAAGAGGCTTTTGCCTATTTCATATACTGTATACACAGTTTAACTGATATCCTGCTTGGCAATCTTTATAATGATGTTTAAGTTTCCAATGGATCAGGCTGATAAGCTGAAATCATACAAGGCAGCTTGTGCAGTGTCCTTGAAGAAATAGCTATTCCGTCAACCACTTTTTTCATGTCACTTTGTTGTTCATAAGTGCAGAGGGCATCGTGTGGTGCGCCCACACAATGCCCTCTGTCAGAAAACATTTATATGAGCTTATTATGGAGCAGGCCACTCATGTTTGAACTGAAGCGTTCTGCTGACAAGATGCATGAACAAATACACAAAAAGTAAAGGCTGAAATTGAAATGCATATACTGCCGACTTTTATATCTATTAAGACATATGAACATTTACAACATTAAAACTCATTTCGTCTCATCTAATCTCATCTAACCTTCATTTTTCCCCCTAAAGCAGACCATAAATCTACTATCTTACATACTGACGTTAAGTGTTAGTAACGTTTGCCTTTGGTGAATGGTTTGTTTGGTCATAGAAACTACCCATGGGATTCAAACCCACAACCTTCTGCTGTGAGGCATGACCGCTACCCACTTTGAAACTCAAAACACAGAAATCTAGAGTAAATTCTCAAGTGTACCTTTCAACGTACTACAACATGTCACATGTGCCCATTAACAGCAATGTAAATAGTGCAGACATGAGAACACATGCATTTATATACATTTCCAAACTATTTGGCTTGGGTTCCAGAATAGTCTTGTTAGTCTTGGAGGTGATTCGACTGCGCCCACTATCCTCCCTGCCACAATTTAAAGCAACTTTATTTACTAGATTAAATGTATTGTGCGCTTGTTTCTAATGTAAAAAAATTAAAGTGTTATTTAATTTAAGCGTTGAACACATTATATTCAAGGGTTGGGGGGACATGTAAAGAACTGTAATTTTCCATTAAATTCACTTCATACAACCCTAAATCACAACAGTAGTTATCTCAGAGGACTTCTTATAGAGCCGTTGAAATTGCCAACACAGATCAGCGAATCAACAGTTAAGACACAAAAAATATAGAACACATAGGTATTGGTCTATGGGGAGAGACCAATGTCCATGAATGTAAAGTGCAGGACTGAAACCTCTCCCAGGCGGGGCAGGCCAGGCAGTCCACAGGATTAGATGGAGGGGGCCGGGTTCAGAGGTCCCATTGTCGCGCCATGAAACGGACAATGGGAAAATAGCAATGAACAGACTACAGTCAAAACCCTAATAAATGCAGACAGATAAAGTTGGAAGGAGGAGAGGATAGTGCTCAAGTTACCATACTTCTCCCAGAAAACTGACTCCTTACGCAGCTGGACTGGCAGTCTAAGCTTTTTAGCTTTCTCTGAGTCTTACATACCTAACCATATGCTAAATTGAAGAAGACTGTTTTAAGCTGATTCCACAATAAAGGCGCTTGGTAGCTCAATTCTCTGCTACCGACAGTGCTTTTTGAGACCTTAGGAACCACCAGGCGTCTGGCGTTTTGCGAGCGCAGTGCTTGGTTTGGTTGGTATAACATCAACTGAGGGTTCTGGGAAGTGCAGTGCTGAATGTTTGGTGAATGAATGTGAGTGTTATTTGTTTGGATTTTTGTTGTTTTTGTCGTTTCTACACAGAATAATGTTTGTTTTGTCCTGCTATTTTAGGTCATCCTCAAAAAAGAGATGGTTCATCTAAAGAGGATATCCTGAATAATATAACTAATCAGAAAGAAAACAAGTTAAACAAAAATATTGTAAATTCATAATCTCGCAGTGTACAGGTGTGGAGATGTGATCATCACACCTTTATAGAAAAATTCCATATTATGAGTGGGCTTTTTTTGTGGATATGGCACACTTGCAGCATCTTGATTTGCCACACAAATGAACAAAAAGGAAAGTGCTGCATTGTACTTTTGTTCAATGTATATTTATCAATGACATTGAATGAAATGCAAGATGGGTTAAAAGCCAACCAGGCAGAGGTACCAAGCCGGAAGTCACTTGTTGGGAGGAGTTCACACTTCACTGCTGCAGCGCATGTACTTGGCTTAGGGGGGTCCACATCAGCCTTGTGTCCTTAGAATGTGACTCACTGCATAAACGGCACAAGCTGATTGTATGTGTGAAAGGAAAGGCTCTTAAATGTTATGAAAAGGAAAAAAACATCTGTAAAATATCAGCTTTGAAAAACATCTTTGTATCTGTTTCAGAGTGTGAGCTCTCAGGAGACGCTGGTCCATAGGAATACACCAGGGTTTGTACCAAAAGTCTTGGGACAAGTGTTCATCTTGATGCAGTACCAGTCCCTGGCCCAGCGCATTAAATTGATGGTGAGGAAAGCTGAACACCTGGCCAAGCTCACACGCATCCCTGGAACCCCAGGTAAACAGCTCAATCACTCTAATTGGCTGCTTTTCAAATGAAAGTCAGAGTAAAGTACCCACAAGTCAGTATTTGTCAGGCTCTAATAAGATTTGGTATAATTGTATTAGTAACTGATCAGGACACAGTCATTTCCTCTAATGTTTTCAGATCCATATCTCTCTGAAGTTTGCCTTCAATTGTTTGGGATTGGAGAAACATGTTTGTTTTGGAGAATAAATCATGTATTGTTGTTTGTTGTCAGACCACTATGTAGTGATTAACATGAGGATGGATGGAAAGGTGATTGCAACAAAGGAAACCAAAGCAGTTGGTGGTCTCAACCCGATCTGGAACGCTCCGTTTCTGTTTGACCTGCCTCCCGGAGACTTAACTCATCTGCTGTTTGAATTCATAGTCATGCAGGTATGCACAATCATGTATTTGAAATGTTTGAACACTCTCTGATCACACAGATGTTTTACGCTGTCAGGGTCGCCTTTACACCAAGAGCAGTGTGTTGGGCCACGTGCTCATTGGCTGCAGTGGTCCAGACGAGGGCCAGGCTCACTGGAGGGAGATGCTGAGCCGGGGGCAAACTGAGTTCGCTCGCTGGCACACCATTCAGCCTGATGACTGATGCTAATGCATTCATTATAAAGACATAAAGACCATATTCTATACCTGTATTGAAGTTTGCATGTGTCACAGTCGAGTCCATGTGAGTTAGACGTCAAATGTCAAAAGCAAAATCCTTTGGGTTCAATATTATCAGCTGGTCAATATTTATCTCATACTGTAACTTAAGATATATTTGTTTATCCTATAGTATGATCAGAGTCGGTACCAGTGCAATGTGGATGTAAAATAAATGTAATAAAAAACAAATTATCTAATTGTTTGGATTGTGTGGACATAATCAGCATTTGTACACGGTTTATGATCAACATTCTACACTTTTGTTTGCCTTTATACAAATAGTTTCATCCTTCAAATCCAAGCGTCCACGGAAGTCAACCTGTGTAACAGAAGTAATTGTAGCAGCAGCACCAAAAATGAATGAGTACACTCATTTTTGTGATTTTGACAAGTACAAGCTTTACTGAGTGGTTACCGTTCACAATAGGTGACATTTATCCTGATGTTAAAAATACCCAGAGACAGTGACGCCTCAGTGATGTAATATGTTTGTAGTAGGTTCTTATGTCATAGGCACATGCCCCCGCGGAGTGAGTGTACAACGTGCACACTGGAGGCTGAATAGTTCCGGATGCAGTCAGTGAATTACATCCTGAGTCTTTAGTACAGTTATCAAACTTGTCGTTTCTACAGTGCTGTTTATTACTGCCTCATCAGTGCACTGCCAAATGGAAGTGATTTTCAGGGGAAATGGCTCTGAGAAATAATTCTCAAACAGCTGTTATTTCCTTTAAAGAAATAGACTCAGAATAAAACTGCCAATGACATTTACTATGAGCTGATACTTATTAGGGGTGACAGTGGCTCAGTTGGTAGAGCATTGGCCTTTGGGTCTGAAGGTTGTGGGCCCACCACAAGACCTACTTCACTACTCCCACTGTGTAGTGGGCAAGACATCTTCGGCTGGAAGATCTCAGCTCCTGTGAACTCACCACCTGCAGGAGGATCAGTGAGGAGCTGGTGCTTTGTGTACTGGGGGCAGCTCTAACTGCCACCCCCGACCCAGAAATGGAGTAAGGAGAAGAAAATGGATGGATATTATTATGTGTTATTGAATGTAAGTGTACAAGTTTGAAATAAAAAATTAAAAAATAAGTAAGAAAATAAATCTCACAATTTCCTAGTTAGGCTGTCATGTGGTGAGATGAATGAGGACACTAGATTGATGAAAATCAAAAGTTTAAGGTAAAAAACAACTTAAAATAGACAGAGACACAGGTGAAAGACATTAGGGCGGGGCAGACAATCCACACAGAAATTCAAACTAAAACATAACCACAAAACTGAAACCAAGTACAAAAAAAAAATTCAACCCATGCCAGAGATAGGCGTATCATGATCGATTTATCCATCAGTTATTGAACAATGGGTCAATACTTTTCAAAAGTTGATGATTGACAATCAAACACAGGAAATACAATAATAGCACACACTTAAATATCCTGAATCCTCCCTGTCCTAAGACCCTCCTGCAAACCTAGTGGGAAAAGTGAAAACTCTTAGGGAGGCCCACACAGAGATCCGTTCCCATGAATGGACATATATAGATCCAAGACTCAGGCTGTAGAACGAGGACCGCGATTGTATGTGTCTCTGGGCCCCTACCTAGCACTAGCAGTGCAGAAGCATTCAGCAGACACTCGGCTTTCAACCGCTGGCTGTCTGGCTGGTGCCCTCGAAGTGGTGTTGTTCATGTTGACAATTGGAGTGCCTTTTGGGGAAAGCCCGGTCTCATCCGCTCGGATGATATCCACCCAACGTTGGCGGGTACATCCCTTTTGGCTAAGAATTTGGCCCTGGCTCTAAACTGTTCTGCCCGGCTCAAATGACGGTGCAGAACTGAGGCCCGGGTGCAGAACTGCTCTGCCACAACCTCTGAGCCCCCATCTGTTCAGTTACTAGCCTCAGAAGCTAGTGAAGCCAATAATTCCCTTTGGCTGGCGTGTCCACAATTTGATACAGAAATCAGACAAAAAGATTCTCAAAGGTTAACATCTGCATTTAATTATCTTTACAATCAGATACAGAAATCAACAAAAGAGTGCTCCTATAACTAATATGTCCCTCTCCTGGCCCTCGGCTGATCCTTCTGTTTCTCCCCAAGCCAGAGCATATATAAAGAACAGGAAGGAGGGGAGTGTCCTATCAGCCAGCTTCCGGTCTAGGGTCCAGCCTTTTCCTCCGTCTGCCAGACTCCTGATGGAGTGAGGTTGAAAAGTGCAGAAGTCAGCAGGCCAAGACTAGGGGGGTGAAATACAAACAGCAGAATCCATCTGTTGTCCAGTTGCTGGCACAAGAAGACACCTAAAATAAAATAAGAAGGACTGGCCTCCCACTTAGAGGTTAGCTAGGTCTAAAACACATGGTTTTAGAATGTCACGTATTTATAAATACAACAGTTTCCCTCTTTTGACCTGATTAAAAATTAGGTCACAATCCACATCGTCGTTTATCATCAATCCTTGTGCTTAGTTCCGGCTCGATATCTGTGAAGAGTTAATACAGAGAAAACAAACAACACACAACCACATTCGAAACATTCCTTCACTAAACTCTTTGATGACCACTGCTGTCATTCTGATTCTTCTTCAACCTCGTCTGTAATGTATGCACTAAAACTATTCACTATAGTTTAAACTATTCTAATCTATTTACAAATATGTTTGCTTATTTTGCTTTTATTGAGCCCTATTCTTAAACATATGTTTTTATCTAATAAATCTATCTATACTGGTGGTTTGCTTTCATTATCAGTGGCTCTGTGCCATTTTGTGGGGCTTTGCTCATTTTTCCAAATACATTTTGTTGAACCAGGAAGTGCTGTCACTTCCTTCTCTCAGACCGTTTGGGATAAATGTACATCGTTAATCAAATTGGTATTATCCGTACAGGAGCTAATCTATTTTAGCAGGTTTCTCTGGGGTTAGTCCCTATACAACGGTATTTTGATTCTCTAATCTGTTGCTGACAAATCGACAGCTCTTAAAATTCTCAAAACTACCTAAAGATCTACTTTTGTGCTATACCCAAATTCACCAAAATGCATTTAAATGTTTTTGAATCTCTGTTGGTTCTAATCTATCTCATTAATCTAAGCTACATTAATCTAGGCTACACTCATGAACTTTATCTACTTTTGAAGTAACTACTTTTGGACATAATATGAAGGAAATGGTCTTTTTACCGTTTGATATTAACCCTGTCTAAAAATAATCTCTATTTTTTTGAAAGCATCTATCTATTTTACACTCTATTGTGACTCCAAATCTTGGTTGTAGTTTGAGCCAAAGCATATTCCCAATTTTTGAGTTCTGATTGTAACAATTGCATTGGCAATAGACGATTTTTCATTGGCTAGTTCTTGTTCTGCAAATCACTATTCTATGTATTGTATTTCAGACAATTCCAAAAACAACACAGTCGTTCTCCAATATTAAAGACATACATCTAAATCAAGTTGCCTGGAAGGGATTTTAACTATTTTAAAACGTTCTCTACGATTATAAGGCTATGCATTTAATTATTTAATAAACAAAAGCACATTCATGGCTTCTGTCCGCTGCTTATAACTGTTTAAAGAGTTGTCCCAAACTTAATATGTGTAAATACATCAGCTATTTGTAATAAACAATAACATTTAACCTGTTCTCCAATGGAGCAGCTCAGAGGCTGCGTCAAGAGCAATGTTATATTTGAGCTATTTTTAGATTTAAAATTGTGTTAAAGCCTGTCGTTCTATGTCTGCATTTTAATACTACTCTCTATAAACACATCTGCACTAGTTCCTACAGATGTGGAAAACAGAAACATCTATAAATCTGACTCCATTTGATTCCTTTTTACTTTAGTTATTAGAACAATTTGACCTTATTGATACTTATTTCCACAATAGAACTATTTTGATTATTCACTAGTCTAACTATTATTACTATTGTTTATTCTGACACCTCTTCTTAGCGACCTTTCAACCTATAGCTCCTCGAATCCAATGACATTATAGCTCCAGACTATTTCATTCTATTCTATTATTATTATTGTATGATCTATTATCTTAAAGAGTAGATCTGTTTGATGTTATAAGCGCTATTATTTCTCCTTTTGAACTTGCCCAACACTACATTTAGAATGACCCCCTATGGGACAAATATAGAATTTTATTTCATTTTGGCAACTCCGAAAATTACTTAATAATTTTCCCATTTTGCTTTTTTAGGCTGCCCTTTCTATTATTTATTTGTTCTTGTAAATATATGTTTTACACTTCTTTCTAATGATTTAGAAGGTTAAGGACCATGACCACCTATGACAATAACATTACCATACTCCCTCTCTTTGGTCATGGGCCAAGTATAAAACATGCATCTGTGTGTGTGTGTAGATTACTGTTCCAATCATTCTCCAGTTGTTCCTCCCGGATCGTCCTCAATTCATATTGTGGGCTTTGGTGCCAAAGTAGAGGCTCATTTCCTTATGATCCATACTACTGTCATCCCTGAAGCAGGGGTAGTTTATCTCTCATCTGAAAAACAAACATTAGAACACAAGAAATGCCCACTTCCCTCTCTTCGCATTGTGCAGCCTGTCAATCAATCCAATTGGGCAAAACATAACTGCATTGACAGACGGTGTGTGACATCAGGGCAGAGGCTGTAGCCAAATACAGACTTAACAATATGTATGTTTCTAATTTTATATTCCCCTAAATGTGAATTACAAACCAAAGTTGTCCTTCAACCAACGACCGCTCACTGCGGTTGGACCGAATCATTGTCAGGACAAACAGCAGAGGGAGGGACTCCCAGTACCTTCAGCAAGGTATTTCATCTCAGAGTACTTTCTCAGAGTACTTTTCTCAGAGTACTCTCACTTTTACACCTGTTCAATAAGGCTTGTTATCTTTGAATCTCTAGTACTTACACCGTATGCTGTTGACAAAAAATA